AGTAGTAGTAGTAGTAGTAGTAGTAGTAGTAGTAGTAGTAGTAGTACGTAGTAGTAGTAGTACGTAGTAGTAGTAGTAGTAGTAGTAGAGTAGTAGTAGTAGAGAGAGAGAGAGAGAGAGAGAGAGAGAGAGAGAGAGCCAAATAGTGATAGTGGATTAATATGAAGCCCTTTGGGCTTAGATACAATTAAGTTAGGACCAAATGACATAAGTTCATTTTCTATTGTACAAAGTACAACAAAAGACATAAAAAAGAATGATAGACTCATCATCATTAGATTCACAAAACTAGAACCAAATGACATAAGCTTCCCTTCTGTTGTAAAAAGTACAACAAAAGACATAAAATAGAATATGATAGATGCAACAGCGATGGATGAGGCAAGCTTGGCTGCAGATTACATAGCCATCAGAGCCTGCACCTTGCAACGAACCATTTTTTTCACCTGTGAAGAGTAGGGGCACGCAAAACGCATGGGATTTTTTTTCACTTTGAAAGCTTTGGAGGCTCATAGATATGGAAGAGCCGGTCTCATTGATGATGTACAATGGGAGCTTTGTATATCAGATGCTAAAATCAAATGCTTGTTTATAGGCATATCTCATATTAAATTACAAGATACAGAGTGTGCTTGTATTTTTGTACCTGCAGGCTTGCATTCATGTCTTTGCGATTAAAAAATGGTTAATTTAAGATCCATGCAATGTTTTTTCTTTCTTTTTTTGCAGGCTGTGGGCTGTGAAACTGGACGTATAGTAGCATCATGGAAGCTAAGGTTCTCAACTTTTTGTCAACCTTAACTGCTGGGGTATATCACCCCAGCTCCCTATTTTTCTTCTTCCTATTATCTGACTTCTTTCCCATGTTTAATTATATCTACTACCAAAAACTTTCTTATAGAAATATTCATTATTGAAATGTATGAGCATACCGGGTATCAAAGGGTCATTTCTTTGTCTTCTTATTAAAACATGAAAATTTAAGGTTTCTAGTGGCATTAAAGTCTAGAATGAAATTATGATTGTAAGTACAGTGTCAACAAACATATCTAGACTGTGTATGTTCTCACTACTTGTAGGTTGTACCAAGTTTCTATCTGACCTACTTCGGAATTAAATGACATATAAAGCATCTTTGTGAATTATTCAGAGATTAGGGGTCCACTGATTAGATTTTGTGGACTTATACTTAAAGGGGGAATTCATTTTGACCTTCTCTTTTGTTTTAAGCCTAAGTAGGGGAAAACCATCAAACAGGCACTAATGCTCAGGATCTCATCAAAACTCCACAGCTTAGAGTGCCTATGTAAGAACAACAGTACTAGGATGGAGGACCTCTTAGGAAGCCCGTTTATCATACTCGCATTTGATAGGAAAGAGTGACTTGGAGTTTTATCAGAAAATTATTTCTCTTATTATATGCACAAGAATCTCTAGATCACAAAGGAATCAAGTTTTGCAGTGAGGTGTAAGGGTACCAGCAAACCAGAGAAACGAATCACTCTAGTCAACAAGCACGAGTATTGAGATAATGGACTAATCCAATTCTATGAGGAATCATAGCTCAAACATGAATGAAGATACAGAAATGCTGTATTGTATAAGATTGTTACACTCTCCAATTATTGTTGACTGGTAAATGTCCTAGGCTCTGATACCATGTGAAAAGTAGCATTAGTGCATAAAATTTGTGCTTGAGGTCGTTTAAATTTCAATTTAATTGAAGATCTACATGATTAGCAGGACATCCAATGGACAACAGATCATGGAACTGTCAATCTCCCTCATCTTAAAGGCCTTCAGCAAAAGCATTTGGATTTGGAGAAATTTTATTTGTGAATGAACAGAGTATGATACAAATGGAGAGACGAGGGGAACAAAAATAGAGATGACAAAGTGTCCTTTCAAGAGGATAAAGGAGCTGTAAAGACCATTTGGATAAAAAAAGGCCAATTGGTAACAACAATTAAAAAGGAGCTTCTATCCACCATTCGTTTGCTCGTTCATCTGTGAGGACATTAGCAGCCCTCAGGAAATGGGAAAAAGAAATCTTCAAAAACTTGGAGTTTGCCCATGGCATGGTCTCCCAGGTGGCTAGTTGCCTGCCTAGGCAGGCGCCCAAGAACAAGGGTGTGGGCCTGACAGCTGCAAATGGGTGTAGGCCCCTTAGGGAGTTCTTAGGGCCCCAAACCCCTGAAAATAAAAAAATAAATAATCACAGACATTGTCATTGATCACATTCAAATTGAAAAAAAGAAAGGAAAAAGAAGTCAAATTGGCATTTGGCAAATGGCAACAAAGCTCAAAGTACGTATTACATAAACTGATAAAGTAGCCATTAAAATTAACAAAAACTCATGTCCACTGCCCCCATGTAATTTATTACTCAATGATTTAAAATGGCAATTCAGTGTCATCACCACCCCGAATAGAATCATCCTCCTCACCATATTCATCATCATCCCTTGTCTCATTTGAATCGACTTTATCCTCTTCATCCTTCTCTGAGTGGTCCACAGTCCACACAGGGCTCATTGGTTCCCACCAGCCTCACAAACTTGGCCCCAAGACGAGCCCCCCCCCAGGGAATGCCTCATCATCCCCAGCATCAACTAGCCATTCGCTAGTTTTATGCATATCAGCAACTTTAAGAGCCTCCCTTTCATTGCATTCCAGCTCCTAATGGCGCTCTTGCAGCTTTTGAGTTTACCAAATGAAGACAAGGTCGTTCAGTCGCTTTTGCTCAAGTTTGTTCCTCTTCTTTGTGTGGACATATCAGATAAATGTTGAATGAACAATTAAAATTTAGAAAAACATTTGGTTAGGCTAATAAACTTGATTAGGCTAATAAACTAAGTAACTTGATTAGGCTAATAAACTAAGAAACTAACTAAAGTAAGTAATATTACCATTTCAAACATACTGAAATCGCATTCACGTCCAGATGAGCTACAAGTTAGATTCAACATACGCATGGAATCTACCGCAAATATGGGGTGCTCCCCCATGGTTTAACTGCCATGCACCCAATGTTTCAAAAAGCGCTAGGTGACACGTAGGTGGTCGAGGGGGTCAAGGCCGCTTAGCGTCTAGGCGGGTGCCCAAAACCTGGGCGGCCCTGTGGATGTTTTTTTTTTTTTGGGTTTTCTCTCTCTAAAACAGCCTCTAATGGGGTTTAGGTTTCAAATGAACCTAAAACCCACAATTTTACCCTTTAGTATTAAAAAATGACCCAAAATACCCTCAAGGAGCCGCATTTCTACCCCTGGGTGGGGTGCAGGCCCTAGGCGACCACTTAGGCGGGTTCAGGCGGGTGCCCAGGGATATCTGCCTAGGTGGCCGCTCAGGCGCTGAACGGTCCGCTTTTTGGAACAGTGCATGCAACTATTTCACATAAATGTAAATGCAGTATATAAGATAATTTGTATAATTGAAAATTAATACTCAAATCATGAAATCAAAATGAAGATATTCTAAACTTACCAGGAGAGATCTTGGACCTCTGCCTTATTACCAACTCCTTTCCAAGAGACCCAATTGAGAACTAATACTTTTCTAAAATCCATTGAGACCTTGTCTTGGACTTTGTGGTCAGGGTTGAGTTTGATATTGTTGATTGCATCCATGTACTCAGTCTTTTATGTATCTCATAATCATTATAAAAGTGAGCAGAGTTAGGTAGTACCTTGCTAAATGGAGTGGCCTCTCAAGTTGGTAATTCCATTTATTTTCTATAATCTTCAAATATTCTCCACTCTTAGTTTCATCATTCCCAAAACATTTCTTGATTTCTTCCTTAGCATCTTCCATGGCTTTATAAATGTGACCCATTGCGGGTTCCTTCTTAGCATCAACCATCTTGAGTACCTTTACTAATTGCCGAAAAGCATATACTGCATACTGAACTCTATTGTAATATCATAAATTCATGACAATCTCTATCACTATCCCGTTTGTTCTCTTGGCCCATTTGGACTTGGTAATTCTATTGAACCCTATTCCAATATCATAATGCACTAACCTTTTCAAAATGAAATCAATGTAGGCCCAAAGTGGTAATCTATGGTTGCCAAAAATCCTATTATGCAACCTCTACAAGCTTTAAAAAGTATAAAAAAGCATATCTTTCGATTTCACAAGAAATAAAAAATGTTGAACGTTTTTTTGATCTTGATAGAAATCTAAAAGAATCTTAGATTTCTCTCAAAACCTTTCCCCCCCTTTTCAAAGGGGAAAATGTCAAAAATGCTCCTGGCCGAGGGCGCATGAACGGGTGCCTAGGCCGAGGGTGCATGACATTTTCAGCGGGGAAAATGTCAAAAATGTCAGCCGGGGTGCATGAACGATTGCCTAGGCGGCGCCTTGGCACCTGGACACAAGATGTCTAGGAAACTCTCCTAAGAGGCGCCCAGGCGTTTTTGCCTCCAGGCCGCCAAGCGGCCGAATTTTTTAACATTAAAGTATTTGAGCGCTCATCCACAACACTGAAAAACTTCAACAGTGGTAATAATGCAATAAGATAAAGTCCAAAAGAAGGCATTACTGGTATCATATGTATTCTTTATTTTATTTAATAGTAACTCATAACAATCACTTGAATTGGTTCCTCTAGTATATTCTCAAAGTTCAGCAATGTAGGGCTATTTGGATGCTTAAATCTCTTGTATGTACAAGTTGTGCATGTCAACATGCTTGTGTTAGGAATAAATTTATTATTCCTTGAATGAAAGAATCTATGATTCCATTTCCAGGTATGTTTTCCATTGGTAGCCCCTCACAGTGATTTCTTTGATTTCACCCTATTTAACGTATCCACAGGACCTACCTTAAGCTCCCTTGGAGGCCTCTTGTTTCCGTAGAAGGAATGACAGTTTACGATCTCAATGATGACTTCAAAGTGAGAAACATTCATTTGTTTGTTATTGGATATTTATTACGGTTTGCTGGACTCATGCATATTTCTGCTCTTTGGTACATTCTCTTCTTCAAACAGATCGTAAAGCATGCTGAAAGTTGGAATATTTCTGCACTTGATGCTATTGCCCAATTATTTACATCCTCTGGCTATCAAAAGGATGTAGATCCGAAGCATATATAATGGGATCTTACTAGAAAAGACTAACTTGCCTCCACACTAGTGCACTCTGCATATAGTTCCAAATTTTTGTGTATATTTACGTCTTAGTGTTCATTTTGTACATGTGCCATGTAGTTTCTGTCCTTCTCTATATGTATGTAGTCTACATATCAAATGATATTGACTGAATCTATTGTTTTTCATTTGTATCATGTAAAAGCTCTAAAGCTCTTGTTCTATCAAACTATGAAGTTAAAATGGTTTTCTAGTTTTTTTTTTTTTGGGGTAAATCAGTGGGGATGAAGCCCTTAGCCATTTTTGTTTTTTTATTAATAGTCACAAGAAAAGGTTACATCGAGGCAGATTACATGTACAATCAATGAACTACCCTATCTGGGGGGACATTGGCAAAGTCGCACAAAATGTCATCACGAGTAGGCTTGCGTAAAATCCTAGGAAACCATAATTGAACTTGAGATAGGTGCTGAGGAAGATTGGTAAGAAGATATAAATGAGATACTGAAGACCAAAAAGTCAACTGGAAACAATTATGATGCTAAGCAGGGAGAATAAATCGTCCAAGAACTATTCTGGTCAGGATTGATGCTTCGCAAGGAAGGATCTAAACAGCTCTTGTGAAGCAACTCAGCTGCGGAGTTGTCATGTTTTCCCTGCTCCTGCTGATTTGGTGAAAGACCTCCTCATGCACTTATTTCACTGTTACCAGAATGCCACCTAATTTCCACTCTAGTCAGACTGTCTTCACTCACTTTTCCCTTGTGTGGGATTAGGCAATGCGATTGATACTGAGGATTGCAAATATCATAGAGGGCATGAGCTTCAACCTAAATTTTCAACTAAATTTGTAAGCTTCTTTATCCCCAATCCAATAAATTTTCGAGCATATCGGCCCTAGTGTCACGGGGCTAGCAAACCATGCGGCCTTTACTCTTAACATCGTTGTTAAGGGTTCAGCTCTTAGTAACACTGTAGAACATACACATCTGGGGCACGCGCACAAGGGACAAATGGGTCAAAGGCTGTGGCATTATTTTGTTTAAGCTATACAATTACAAGAGTTACATTCTCACATGTCTACCAAGGGTCTGAGCCGGGGGTTTATATAAAAGGCAAGCTTTCTATGCTTTCTCTACATCTTAGAAGTTCTATCCTCCTTTTTATCCAACTGTCCATTCTGAATAGAGGGCTAAGATTGCCCCAATCACAATGTCATGTCTCTATATTATTTTATTTTTAAATTTTTTTTTATAAATTATTTTGATATCAAATTTTGTACATCCATTCCTCTATTAAATTGGTACTAGCGAAAAATATAAAAAAAAATATTTTCAATAAAATACAATGATCAAAATACTCTTGAAAGTTTAACAAGGGGTATTTTGGTTATTATTTTTTAGAGAAAAATTATTTTTAATATTTTTTATAGGTGTGCCCCAACGAGATGATGGCATGTACCAAATTTCATATTCATACAATTTGTATAAAAAAAACTAAAAATAAAATACTTTGAAACGTCGGATTTAAGATCAGACGGTGAGTGATTCTTGATTAAAATTGGACGGTTGGATGGTAGGAGGATAGAACTTTTATGCGGTAGAAGAAGCATAGAAACCTTTCCCTTATATAAATTGTAGTTACAAGTACTTAGAATTTAAATGCCATACGTGTGGTGGCCAACCCTTGGGCGTGGTGTGGTCAAGGATACTTGCTACTTGGTGGCCAAGTGAAAGCCCACTTGGTCAATCAACAACCACCCACTCCCTGGTCTGGTTATATGAGCCTTTAAGTCTAGCTGCCCATCAAGTTCGCGTTCTTGATTTATAACCACCTAGTGGTCAGCTAGAGTTGGTTACCACAACAATCTCCCTTTTCTAGCTAACTATATTCCCGTTAGACCCATGTCTCTGATCCGCCTTCCACGGCGTGACCCTAGTTTGAATTTGAACTTACCAACGGCCCAGCCCAGGCGCCCATGGTCCTCACTTTGCCTAGGAGCCACTACTCCCCTCGCCAGAAATGCAATAGGAACTGATGAGGTTGAGGCCTCATTCGTTGAACCCCCACACATCAAGATGCACCTAAGCACCAAGCACATACTCTTCATCCAAGGTTCTCATTCTACACAAGGCCCGATGATCGAGAGGTAAAGCCCGATCGTGGGGTTAGAAAATGTATTTTTTTATTTTTATTTTAATTTAAATCTGTTCAATGTTTTCAATTTTAGACTGATCTAGAAATACAGCTGTCTGGAAATTGCGATATCTTCCACATCGGACCCGTGGTTCGAGGGGCTCCTGAGGCTCAAGGGAGGCTTAGAGTGATCTGTGTCTTCAACATTGGACCACTTAACGCTTAAAATACAGGTCGCCCAAGCTGTTGGACAACTTATTTCTAACTGTGTTAATTTAATAATCGAACTGATCCAACAACTTTAAATTAAATAAATGAAAATAAAAAAGTGATTTTCTCATTGGTCCGATGGTGGGAACGTTAGACCAATGGAGAGAAAGTGGGAAAAAATAAACAAAACGCAAGGTAGACCTGGCCGTAATATTTGGAAAATTTAGGAGCATTGCGTAATAATATGGTCAAATAGTGGTCTGTACGTAAATTTGCTTTTATTGTTTCTTTCCAATCATTCTCATTATCATGATGTTTGCAATATCGGACTGTTTTTTATTTTATTTTATTTTTGTTCTTTTAGTCTGTCAGGTTGTTTGATGGTTTGGACGTATATTAGTGGTCGGTCTAATGTCCCTAAACTTGACTTTGCGGTCTAATGTCGCTAAACTTCACTTTGGCATTGTCCGATATTGCTAATATCAGGATGCTCCAAACTTTGAAATTTTTAAAATTTTGAGCAGTGTGATATTTATGTATGCTTAAAAACTCTCACAGGCTATGCGATCTGATGTTCAGAGTTTGATTTTTTTTTTTTTTTTTTTAATTTTTAGCAGTACAATATTTGTTACACTGGACCGCTGGGATTGGTTACAACTTTCATAGGCCAAGCGATTTGTTGTTCTAGATATCGGATTGCGCACTATAGGGCTATCACATAATATTAGATCAAACCCTAGAGGTTTTAAAAAAAAAAAAAAGTGGTCAAATATTGCAAGGGAAAAATTGGGCAAAAATTTAAAAATGATGAGAGGGAATAGACCTTCGCGTAAAATGCTTAAACATATAAAGGCCAGTTTGAATGTCAAATAAAAAAACCTTCACATTAAAAAAAATTGTAACCTTTTTCATCCTTTATTAAGAAATATTATCATCTTTTTTTATTAGTCTGCTGGATTGTTTGGATAGTGTGAACTTATTAAAAGCAAATTTGCATCCGCCCTTTCCAAAATTGTCTTGCCAATCCAAAAAGTTTTCTTGTATGCCTTGCATCAGTAAAAAATTTACTTCTATACAATATGCAGAACTTGCAACCCGAGCTTCTCGCTTACAAAATTGAGCTTTAAAACATGGCATATTGATCCCTCAGTTTCGACCACGGGCCAAGTGCTCCCACCCAAAATACTCAGCAATACCTTGAAGGGTGCACTCTCGCAAATATCGGAGGGGACCTGCCAGTGATACAGTGCACTGCTTCAATGGAAATGCAGTTTTGGGGCTCCACCAACCTCCAATTGCTCGAGGGTGTCCCGGAGGGACATGCCTCTGAGGAGCTAAAGTAGAGGTGGGCAGAGGCCAGGCAGATGGTGAATCTTTTTACTAAGTAACCATTCCAATAATTTGTTGAATCTAGGGATTAGAGAGAATAATTGTGGGGCTTTGAATTACAGGAAAGCAGTGACGATTTCAAAGAAGATGAGGGATTCAAGGGCGAAGAGATTGTTTGGGAGCTTTGGGGTGATGGTGGCCAAGTAGAACCCTAAGAAGAAGTCTTTGGATGCGCTGATTAGGAGGCTTCAAGACGCCACCTAGGGCTTGCCATGGATGGTGTTTGAGCTTGTTTGGTATTTTAGGAGAGCGAAAATGAAAATGCTCTGCTTATTCACAAAGAGAAGGGGTTTCCTATGGGTGTGGTATGTGAGAAAATGCTAGTTTTGTAGAGAGAAAGAACCTAGGCTTACAAAGATGCCACCTAAGGTGTGTGGCTTGAGATTTTTCTGGTTTTTAGAGAAAGAAAATGAAAATTCTCTCATCATTCAGGAAGACAAGGGGTTTCCACGGGTGTGGCATGAGAGAAAAGGCTCGTGTTTTGAACAAGTGAGAGAAGGCCGCACTTTCATCTGAAAAAATTCAAGTCTTACTTGAATTGTTTTGGATGGTAACTTTTACCTTGATATGGCAGTAAGTTTTTTTTTTAATCTAAAAATCTAGTAAAATATAGCAGTTGTCCAAATGCGTCAAAGTACAGTTTACAAGATTTTTGGATTGCAAAACAAAAATATTCTAATTTTTGGGTACATCCAAACTGGCACTAAACCATTAAGTCGTATCTTATTCATTTTGAGATCTGCATCTTCTCAATATTCAACCATGCGTTTGGCTTGTTATCAAGTATGTCAATTCGAAGGAGCTCCGTAGTTCACAATATATAGCCCTAACATGGTTTTTTAAGGTTGTTGCATCATATTACTATACAACCGTTGCATGAAATCACTGCCCTATGCCCTATATATATATATATATATAGAAAAACACTACGTAATGCTTATAGGTGAAAATGAACAGTGATTTCGCTTAACCCATCACCGTCCAAAGTTCATCGCGTGGTCACGATTGTTCGGTAATGCTTCATTTTTTATTTTATTTTACAAATCAGAATGACCTAAATTTGGAGCGTGTATTCATAAAAAATTGGGAAATCTTCGAAAAATATAAAAAAAATATTTTACATAAAAAATATAGACGAAAATACCCTTAAAAAGTTTCGGGGGTATTTTGGTCGATTTTATTTTTTACGGATAATTTTTCTATATTTTTATTAGATGCTCCTCAGTAAGATGTACATATCCTTCAAATTTCAAGTCATTCCGATTTGTAAAAAACAAATGAAAAATAAAACACTACTGGACAATCGTGACCGTGTGATGAAATTTGAACAATGATGTGGGTAGGCAAAATCACTATTTATTTTCGCCTATAGGCGTTGGGAAAAATTTTCCATATACATATATATATATAATTTTTTTTTTTTGAAACGGCGAATAAGTTTCATTATATAGAGGAGCAAAGCTCCATAAGTATTGCATAAACAAAAGCGGATGAAGAAATAAGGGAGAACTCCCTATTTTCGAGGAAAACCCACTCAACTATCACTACTACAAAACATAAACCTCAACAAAACACCCCATAAACCACTCCAAGAGTAATCAAAGACAACTATCTCAAGTCCCTACTACCCCATCCCTCTCCAAAAACAAACACAAGCACACACATCTCATATATAGGAAACACAAGGTCGAGGTTGGGGGTGGTGCACAAGTTCCTCTGAACAGGCGTCCAAACATGGTGGCGTTGATAAGGGCAGCAACAACATGCAACAAATGACCGAAAATAGGGCAAAAGATAAGTTTACTATAGAATCGGGATAGAGGAAAAAAAGGGAGGAAGCCAAAAGAAAATCGCGAAGGAAAAGAGGAAACAAAAACAACCCCAAAATTGTATTTGAGAATTGATAGGAAATTTAAGGCCTACTAAAGGGCCAAGAGAAAACTATAATATGGCACATTGGGGCCACCAGGAGGCCAAGCCCCATATCAACGTTATCCTAGGCCGTCAGATACAGACGTCTATGAGGACAGAGGCAACAACCCAAGGCCAACAGATCGACAACAGGATACCGAGGGGGGATCCCAACTTGGGCGTTAACGTACAGTGGGGAGAAGAGCATTGAGGGAAAGCCATGAATAACGACAGCCAAGAAGAGATCAACAACGAAAGACGGTAGAGGTGGAAGGGAAAGGAAAAGAAAGGCGAAGCAAATGGGAGGGGTGAAAAGAGGAGATGAATAAAAAGAAGAGGAGGGAGGGGGGGGGGGACTACACTTAAACTCTCATAATATAGAATAAACAAAAGAAAGGGGTTCACCTAAATTCTCAAAATAAGCAAAAGAAAAAAAAAAAAAAGGTAAAAGGAAGGAAAAAGGAAGCACAAAGAGGAAGAGCCGAAAATGGAAAAGATATGAGAGAGGGGTAAGGGAAAAGAACATAAAAGAGAGAGAAGAGAGAAGAGAGAAAGAAAAGATAACTGAGCTCAAAAGAAAAAGGATTACAAACGTGACTCATAGAGTGGCTAGATCTGACTTGTTGATGTCAAGATCTGACATGCTGGAGACAAAACCTGGCTCAAAGGGGCAGCTGCTGCAGGTGGTGGCTCTCTCTCTCTACGCGTAAGGGTGGTTGCTGCGGGTGGTGGGTGCAGTTGGGAAAGGCCGGGCAGATATGGTAGGGTTTTCTCTCAAAAGGGTGCGTGGTGGAAAAGTCGCTGGAGTTTAGCGGTGCTAGCACCAAGCAAAGGTGGTAGCTAGGGAGAGAAAGGTGGCCCCTAGCATAAACCTTAGCGCAACGTTGTTTCGCCAAAGTTGTCATTTTGGTATTTTTATATTTGCTCGATATTAATACATCTACAATAATTATAGTTTCATTAAGGAGAAGAGCATTGAGAGACATATCGAGAGAGAGAGAGAGAGATCAAACATCTAGGAATAAGATTCCTACCATTCTACAAAACCTTGATACATTGATCACCTTAACCAAGCTGCAATCTTTTCTTTTTTTTTTTGTTTTTTTTTTGACAAGAGTATTGAATATTGTTATTGATAAAGCTAAAACAAAGAAAAAGAAATAAAAAATGACTCAAGAAACACTTCAATTTGCAATTAGATTCGCTTCTCTATAGACATGGTTGAAAGTAACATTGCTTCTGGAAGACAGGTCCAAAATTTTGAGCCATAAAGATCAAATACGCCATGGGGTCTTGTGACACAACTACACCAATTGATAATATTGAAAGAATCTCCTTCTATAATAAAACCTGTCCCCAAATTTTTCTCTTTCTAAATCATTACACCTTGCAACAAAAAAACATCTCCGCATTATTTGCTGTAGCCTCCCCACACAGTGCAACGTAGCAAAAAATGACATTACCTTCACTATCCCTACCTACACCAGCCATCCCAGCCCTCCTTGGATTACCAAATGATGACCCATCAAAATTAAATTTAGGGGATTACAAAGGGGGTGAAATCCATACACATCGAGATCTAACCTTAATATATTTCGAAGCCACCAAATGAGCCATGCTATATTCAACGTCGCTCTAAGAAACTCCCAAACCCTTCTTTGTAATTCGAAACCAACTCCAAGTTTGACACATGATTTTATTTTTTAATTCTACCAAATCCACTAACACTCCATCAAATGTCCTGGTTTCTTTCTAACCATAACTCCCCTAAGTGCAGTAAATATTCCAAACCTTATACACCCCATCTGAAAATCCCACTTCATTAACTTTTGCCATGGGTTGAGCACTTCTAAGAAAAAGATTTGGATAGCTTAACTTTAATGGCATATCAAAAATCCACTTAGAATGCCAAACCTTGCATCCCCTTTTCCAATAGACTGTCTAGAATTTCCAAGAACAAATGCTTTCATTGAAGAAATAACCCTTGACCATTTCCCTGCCCACTCGCAACAACGTTAAAAAATGGATCAAAATCATATTTTGACTCCAATACTTCCTTCCACAGCTTACTGTCATTTTCCATGGCCCGCCACAACCATTTTGCAATCAAAGTTTTCGAATACCCAAACCTCATTTGGTTTTTGGTGTGCAATCTCTCTCCCAACTAACCAAATGAAGTTTCTTCACCTCTTTATCTGATCCCCATAAAAATTCCTAATTAATTTCTCCAAATGCTTAATTTTGTCCACTGGCATACAAATTAAAGACATTTTGTAGATCAAGAGATTAGAAAATGAGGATTTTATCAACGTCACTCTCCTCCCTAAGGATAAGTGTTTGGCCTTCCAAATATGAAGCTCCAATTTTGCACGTTTCACTACCGGATCTGAATCTGCCTTACGCGATCTACCATCTGATAATGGTATGCCCAAAAATCTAATTGGAAAAAATCTCAACTTTGCACTGCAATACCTCAGCCATGTAATCAACCACCACAACTTGACAAGTTACTCAACAATAGAAGTTTTGGTGAAATTGACCTAGTCCAAAAGAAAATTGACAACATCTAAAAAAATCTTCTAATATTGAAAATTTGATAAACATTTACCCCACAAAAAAGTAAAGTGTCATATGCTATGAGAAATAATGGGTCATGTCATGCTTATCTGAAAACCTGTAAAGCATTGTTTCTGAATCACATGATTAATCATCAAACTAAAAGCTTCCTCCACTGAAGTGAATAGAAAAGGGGACAATGGGCATCCTTGTCCAATGCCCCTAGATGCTTTAAAAAAGCCTCTGGGACATCCATTAACAATAACCGAAAAATATGAAGATGAAAGACATCCAAAAATCCATTTCCTTCAATTAATCCCAAAACCTATGCGGTATAAGATTGCGTCTAAAACCTGCCACTCAACCCCATCATAAGCTTTTTCCATGTCAAACGTAGTTAAAATCCCAGGAATACCACTCAATGATCTAGTATAAATTGATTAAAGCTTAACTAAGCTACAATCAAGCTTGTTAAACCTAGGTTAAGTTTTAATCTGGGTCGGATGCACTTGAGATATCAGCCTTTACATGGGTTTGGTCCTTGAGACCATAATGAAGCATGCCAATAACATGAATATAAAAAAAACATCTACCAATTTTTTGGGGAGGTAGGAATTGAACTTGTAGAATTACTGAACATCAACGGCTAACCACTGAAGCCCAAACCTAATTCTCTGAGAAAAACAAATTTAATAAGGGAAAAAAAATCAAGCATAGCTCTCGGAATCTGCACTTATGAGAAGGCAAACCAAATTGGAGCATCCTGCCATCCTACAATTGTTGAAACGGTACCAATACGTCCCTTCCTCTGGGTTTTCAAATGGGTTCCATGAAAAGGCTCTTGCTTCACCCACAAGACCCACAATTAGAAGGCAGATGAGAATCAACCATTTTGTGTTGCTCGCCATCTCTCTCTCTCTCTCTCTCTCTCTCTCTCGGGAGCTGGGGGATGATGCATGAGTTGAACAGGCTTTCTTGGGGCATACACCGGCTGACATTTGGGTGGGTTTTTGCTTAACAAACAGAGTGCCCGTCCAGAAGGGATGCCAACTCAAAATTTGTTAAATCCCATCGAGGATGAATCAAGAATTTGACCAATGA